AGGGCCACTAGCCGACAGGTGGCTTTTCGTGTGGGCGGGAGTTGCGAAAGCTGCAGTCAGGATGTAGAATTTAGTTCGTTAGGTCTAAGTTCGTTAGTTACGCACATGCTTCACGCAGCTTCCCCTTTTCGCGCTGCAGGAAAGAACGGCGAGGTCGAGTATTCGCTGCTGCCATCTACTGGCTGGGAAAGGTTTCACATCGACTCCAAGACGGGACAGCTCACGAACACGGAGGTTTTGGATAGGGAGGAGCAGGAGAGCTACGTTCTCACAGGTACAGAGTACCCCCCCCCCCACAGCCCTCATCTTATCACTAGTCAAATGTCTATCCTCTAGCGCAAGGCCACGTCCCATCGCTAGAGATCGAGGCAAATCTACGATCCACGTAGGGTCAGCTTAACTAAATTGGCATGTTCAACTCACAAGATATATTGAGGATGTATGCAGAGTTACAAACACGTAGTAGGTGGCAGAAAAAATTTCATTGTGTATATATGTGAATACCTCTACATGTACAGTGCATGCGTGCATTCATAATATATTATAATATTAATACATTCATATTCATAATATATAACCATACAAACACAACTTCACATTTCTGCAGTGTTTGCATTCGGCAGAGACAGTAACGTGCATGCACTAATCAGGGGGAAAAAAATTTTCGGGGGCTAATTTTCAAGCTCGCGTGCATGAAAATAGCACTCTAAAATTTGGTTTGCATTAAACTCTATGCACATTTCCGGGGCTCTTTTTGCCACTTCCGGAGCTCTTTTTGCCACTTCCGGAGCTCTTTTTGGCATTTCCGGGGCTAAATCGCCCCGAGACCCCGTGTATTTTTTTCACTGGCACTAATTATGTTTGACATGGTTACCTTGCAGTGTACGCGCGTGACGGCGGCACGCCTCAGCGCGACGCCACGGCGACGGTGCGCGTCACAGTGACGGACATTAACGACCACGCGCCCGTGTTCGCGGGCTCGTGCTACGACGTCGCGGCGCCGGAGAACGTGCGTCTGCCGTCGCTGCACACGTTCCGCGCTCACGACGCGGACACCGGCGACAACGCGCGCATCACGTACAGCCTCGCCGGTGAGTGAGAGCGAGATGGACGCGGATGCTGCAGCTGCTCTCTCCCTCCCTCTCCTTCTCTGTCTCTCTCCTTCTCAGCCTCGCCGGTGAGTGAGAGCGAGATGGACGCGGATGCTGCAGCTGCTCTCTCCCTCCCTCTCCTTCTCTGTCTCTCTCCTTCTCAGCCTCGCCGGTGAGTGAGAGCGAGATGCACGCGGATGCTGCTGCTGCTCTCTCCCTCCCTC